AACATGTAAGAGTGGATAAGCTTCACATATTCCCCCTTGAATATCCTATCTTTCAACAGAGCTTCCGACATTTATCAATCCACAGTGGAGTTAAGATAAGCAGTGAAGCTGAATGTGTGGAGGACAGCTATTCTCCCTAAGTTGAGTATAAACCCATTTTAGCTAGGGGAAGAGATAATCACCTTCTCTGAACGCTGAGAAGGTTATCCAAGCCTAATAGCTGAAAAGATGATCATGCTACCTCCATCGTGAACCTACTATCAGGGCTCTAAACAATCCTTAGAAATAATACTGAACCTGCTCTAAAAGAATACAACTAAACATGTTAATCAGAGACCAAAACCAAAGTTCTGCCACACAGAGTATGACTAAAAGAGCTTTAGCCAAAAATACAATCACTGTGGCCAAGGTATGAACAGTCTCATGAGGCATACGCAAAGAAACAGTAACAAAGAAAGTAAAGTCACTGAATTCAAAGTTATTTAAAAGATAATACTGCCAATCATACTAACATTTTACATACCTGCAGGTTCACCCACAGAGTTCAAACATAGGAACAGACTTTTTTTTTTCTGATTATTCATCAACTATAATGTTAAGCTCAGAGTGCTAATGCTCATTTATTCAACTGAGGCCTCTGGTTGCCTTTTTATTTTAACACATGATAAATTTACTTATCTGCTTTCCTAGTTCACAGCCAATTGTAATAAACAAGTGAGGATAAGAAGCACAGAGGAAACAGCTGCTGGAAATAGGTAGAGTTGTAAGAAATAACAGATAACTTGGTAGGAAGCAACAGCAGAATGCAAAGGCACACAAAAAAAATTCAAACACAATCTTCTGGGACCACATAGCAAAAAGCTCTATGCATCTCAAGAGTCCTCAAGGGGAGCCACAGCACCAGGGCATATTCACAGAAACAGATTTAGAGTAAAATCCTCAAAAAAGATTATATTATTCTTTAGAGAATCTTTTAAAGAAGGTAGGGAAACATGTAATCCATTTTTAAAAGTAGTTCACCCAAAATGTTTTAAGTAGTATTATTTATTGTAGCTTTAACGTGAACACTTAAATTATAAGCTTCATTTATACAGAAGATTGCACTCCACAACTAATGCTAAGTAGAGAAAGCACTGTAGCTGATGGGAGGATTTTAAGCTTAACTCAAACATTTATAACATAGAGAAATAGGAGCACCTCATTCCCTGACTACACTGGAAAACATAAGGCCCTACTGTTACTTGAAATAACATTCAAATTATGAAATAATATCTTTACCCACACAAAACCAAGAAAAACTATGTAAAGCCTATTAGAAGTACTTTAATTTTGAAAACCATCATTTGTCTCCACTCATCACTCTTTCTCCTGAAATGGCTGTTAATCCTTTCCAGCCACAAAACAAGAAGATTATGACTATGTGAGTAGTTTCTCTTAAGGTATTGATGAAAAGTTTAGCAAATATTATTCTAAAATCTGTTATGCAGTATATAGTTAAAATCTATAAACTGTATACATATATATAGTACTGTAAACTTTCTTTTAAAACAATGTTAACCCTCAGAAAGAGAATTTCTAATTGTCTTTGTCAACAAAAGTAAAAATCAAAGGAATATGTAAGTTTTTCAATAAAACATGAAGCTTAAAAAATGACAGAAAAAATGGGATCCCTGGGTGGCGCAGCAGTTTAGCACCTGCCTTTGGCCCAGGGTGCGATCCTGGAGACCTGGGATCGAGTCCCACGTTGGGCTCCCAGTGCATGGAGCCTGCTTCTCCCTCTGCCTGTGTCTCTGCCTCTCTCTCTCTCTCTCTCTCTCTCTCTCTCTCTCTCTCTCTCTCTCTCTGTGACTATCATAAATAAATAAAAATTGAAAAGAAAATGACAGGAAAAATGACTAATGTACCTGACTTTTTACGGATGAAAAACAGAGCTTAACAAAAAGCCTGCAAGACTTTAAAAAATTAATTTTCAAACTTCTTAATGTAAAGAACATGCAGGGAAAATACTAGTCGGTACACAGAGCCAAAATCAGTCTATGAATATTTTGGAGTTGAGTGTGGAATATTCAGAGGCCTCAAATGACCTATTTTTTTTCTACCACAATCCGTAAAAAAGCATGATAAAATAGTACCTACTAAGTACCATACAAGTATTTTTAAGGCTACCATACATAAATGGTCAATAGAACAAAAACGAGAGATAAAATAATTATATACATAATCACAATGAATCAAAATTCAATTCAATTCACATCCTATCTTACCTAATCAAGCAACCCACTTTGAAACTTTGACACCATAACAATACTGTTCTTGTACAAGGCTTTAAATGTAAAAAAATTGTGTAATTATATAATAAGACTTTAAAACTAAGCTGAGAATATGCCCACGTTGTTAAGGGGTAAGGAAAAACATTATTGTATAAACATTAGAGATACAGAAGGATACATGGTGGGGGAGAATTTTTGTTTTGATTTGCTTTGGTAAACTGTTCACAAGTTTTCTAGAACATCAGTAGAGAAACATAAAATGGAACATAGTCCAGAATGTTTCTGCTTAGAGAGAAAAATGCACATATTCATCTAGCTACCATTAAACATATATCTACCATTACCCTGTCATATTTGGAGAAATTCTAAGAAAGTGTCAACACATTTTATTTGAAGTCTATTATTAGTTTTAAGGGTGTTATTGAAGGTTACTAAAAATTTAGGCCAAGATGATTTTACAGATGTGAAAACTAGATGAGGTGTTTGTGTGGCTTGTTAAAGGATATACAACCAGTTAATGACAGAGTAAACTTAGAACTCAAACTCTAAACCAATTTCTTTCCAACTTAAATATCAAATCACCTCTAATTTGATATATAAAAATTTAGAAATGAATTCGTTAAGAGACAAGGGTGAGATACCACAATTTGGTAACTCTGAAAGGCAAAGAAACATAAATGCATAAATATTGATTTGTTTAAGCAGGGCTACTTTAAACACACAAATGGCCTAGAATGACTTTTTTCCAAAAAGTAAAAGCCTTTTAGACAAAGCCTAACAAACAGATCCCATTACTACTGAGATGGATGATAATTTATATAAACCATCAACTCTTCATACATGGAAGAACAGCCTTAGTAGTAAGTCCACACAAATACATACACAAATTGAAATCTAAGCCAGAAATCGAAATTTACTTTAGCTACGATACAAAATTTATGTGTAAACTAATGTCAGAAAAAAAATAAATAAAAAAAATAAAATAAAATAAGGTCAGTACTTATTACATTCATTCTGCAATAGAAACCAATAATTATGCGAATAAAATTAATGAGAATACAGTGAGCTTAGACAGCTGTCCACACCAATCAGTGTGATTTGACCGAAATTTCTTAAACATAACTTAAAATGTCATTTAAATAAGGTTGAGATACAAGTCCTTTCTTCTGGCCTGCCTCTGATGAGGAAGCAGATGAACATCAAGTAACCTAAAATCATCCTGGACAAAAATGGAGAAGGAAAAGTAAGACTACCCATTACTGAATTTATTCATTCAATAAATATTAACTGAACATAAGATGCTATAGTGTGAATAATTTTTTTTAAAGACAATTGCAAAAAGCTGCCCTGCAAAGTTTAACTGAGGGAGCTTTAATGAAATGCATTACTCCAAGAAGCATGGCTGGAGCCTGCTTGAGATGATTGTCTTAAAAAAAAAACCAATAATTTTTAATATATATAAAATAAGATAAATTAGCCTTGCTTACTGTTCTATTTTCCTAACTAAAAAAAAAAAAAAATTCCTGGATCAAAAAAAATGTAATACCTGTCTTCCTCAAAAAGTTGCATCCTCGACAGCACAAATGGTAAATTAAACCAAGTCCACATTATTTTACTGTTTATAGGTCCAAGTGCTTACAGTTGGTGAGACAGACAGGTCTTCCTGCTATTTAGACAAACATCTGTAATAGTCCAGGTTAAAAAAAAAAAAACTCGCTCAAAGTTACTGAATATAAGTCCTAATAGAAGTATCTGTATGCTACCTCAGATGCTAGGCACACTTTTAAACAAGAAGAAATGCAGAGAACCTGAAAAGGAGGGAAAGGTGTCATCACTCTTTAATTCCTGGAAGATTATCGATGGTTGCTGCCGAGATGTTTGGTGAAAAATCAGTTATCTCTGAATACAGATGCGCATAATTATTCCTTTTATGTTTCCATATTATTGTAGTGTAAAGGAATATTACACTCATAATTAGAAAACCTTTGAGGGAAGGCAAGACGTGGAACGGATCACTGACACGAAGACTTGGGGTCCTCCACAAGTCCCGCTCCCAGGAACAAGTGCAGAAACTGCACTAGCACCGCGATCTAAAAGTGGAGAGAGAACACACACACACACACACACACGCACACACGCGCGCACACACACACACACACACACGCCACACACACACACGCACACACACACGCACACGCACACACACGCACAGCGCGGCGCGCGGGGCAGGCTGGTAGTAGACATTCAATGCCGGGGCAATGAAATAACTGAATATTTGCGTACAGAAGCCAAAACAAAGACAGGACGCAAAAACAGGGGCAACACAGTAGACGACCACACTAACGACGACTTTACCAAAAGCCGGCTGACAGCTCATGGGCCCTCGGCGAAGCAGCCGGTCGGTCCTGCCCTCCTCCCTTCCTCGGACACTACAAGGCGCGCTCAGAACCAACCCTCCCCCGCCCCGCCCCGCGCCTCACCCTCCCGGGGTTCCAGCGCCGAAGCTGACGGAAAGTGGGCGGCCTGGAGGCGCCCGGCCCCGGCCCCGGCCCCGGCCCGACCCCGGCCCCGGCCCCGGCCCCGGCCCCTCTCCCGGCGCCCGCGCCCGCGGACACGCCCGTGCGGCAGACGCTCCGGCCGCAGCCCCCCCTTTGTGCGGGGCCCCCGGGGGCCCGCGCGCTCGCCCCAAGCCCTCGGCGCCGCCGCCCCTCGCCGCGGGCCGCGCCGTACCTGCACACGGTGATGAGGTTCCTCCTCTCCACCGCAGCGTTGCGGGCGCTCAGGCTCTTCTTGCCGCCGCCGCCGCCGCCGCCGCCGCCCCCGCCGCGGCTCCCGCTCAGGCCCCCCAGGCTCCGGGTGGCCATGGCGGGCTGACCCCCGCGCCCCTTTTGTCTGCCGCGACCCCTCCCGCCCCCCCACACCTGCTCCCCAAGGCTCTTGCTCGTTTTGCGACCGTGGGGGCCCTGAGGGGGGCGGGGGCGGGGGCGGGAGCGGGGACCGACCGGGGGTGTGGGAGACCACGCGGGAACTCGCACCCGGGCACTGGCGGCTGGCGCCCCGCACCCGAGCGCCGCGCACACACACGCACACACGCACACACGCACACACACACGCACACGCACAGGGACACACACGCACGCGCCTCCCCCGCCCTCGCGCGCGCCGCCGGCCGCCGGGCTGCGCGTGCCGGGCGGCGTCGGGCGCTCCCCGGCGGCCCGAGGGACCTCGGCGGCAGCACGCGCGCGCGCCCGCCGGCCCGCACGCCCCGCCACCCGCCTTCGGCCGCCCGCGCGCCCCAGCGGCGACTGCTGCGGGGAGGCCGCGGGCGTCCGGCGCGCGCAGCCCCGCCCTCCCCGCGCCTCCGCGGCCGCGGCTGTGCACCTGCAGCCAATCGCGGCCCGCGAGGGGCGGGGCCGGCCGCGCGGCTCCCTAAGTTCCCGTGCTCGAGCGCCGCCCCGGCGCGTGGGCCGCTGTCAGGACGCCGGGCTCGCGCTCGCGCTCGCGCTCGCGCTCGCGCTCGCAGCCCGCGTGCCGCAGGCGGCCGGCTCGCCGCGGAGCAGCGCTGCGGTTGGCACCGGGATTGTGGGGGGATTGTGGGGCGCGGGGCGCGGGGCGCCGGCGGGCCCCGGGGGGGACGCGGCTCGTAGCCGGGAGCCCAGCTTTAACCTGTTGGGATCTTTAGCTTTGGCGGCTGATCTTTTTCACGCCGGAAGCCGTATTCTCAGGTCCTCAGCCCCGAAAAATGCAGCCGCCCGGCGCGGCGCCCGCAGCAGACCCAGCACTGGGAGTCAACCCAGGAAAGGAGCAGGCTTCCTTCTGTCCTAACTCCCTCCGCTGGCCTGGAAAACAGCCGCAAAGAGCGGAGGGGGGTGGGGGGGAGGGCAAATGCCTGTAGACTATCCGTCTTGGGCGTCTGAAGGTGGGGTTTCTTGACCGTCCACGCCACGTCGCTCCTACCCCAGCCCCAAGCACGTCCTGCAGGCGGGACTGACAGCCCACGTGAGAACGAGCGCCGCGCTGATGTGCGCCCTTCTCCCAGCCTGGGCAGTGACCCCGGCATTGGGTGAGGAACAGGGGGTCTAGGGATAGTTTGAGCCTTGGCTCCCCTGGGCTGCTCCCGGAAAATAGTGCCGCCCTAGTAGCGCCCACTTTGCAAAGCTTCTGCACCCTCTGGCCTGACCAGCATGAACGTCGTAGCCTTTGTCGCATTCTCCCGCACTCACCGAAGTGGCCGTCCATCTCCCCTTGGGCCAATATGCTCAGATTTCGGAGTGAAATCCGTAACTACGGTCCCTGTCCCTAGCACGCCTAGCACGGTGCCCTGCTTACAACAGGTTCTTAATAATTGTTCGTCAACAGTGACTTGAGGTTACATCTGGCATTATCTTACTGAAATGTTACAATTTTGGTGGCTCCAAAATCCATATAAATTCCACCTCTGGTTTGGAAGTTTCTGCCAAAGATTGTTATAAAACGTATGGTTTAGTACAGATATCCCTGTACTTCATGTATATCATACAAAGGAGGGACTATTCCTCTATCTTGAACGCTTTAAAAACAGAGTTTTGTATGATAAAGCTGTAGATTACTAATATCTGAGTTTGGAAAATTTTTTTAAGTCTCTTAAGATTATTAAGGCAAAGAGCGCTTTCTGCGTCTAAGTCTAATCATAGTAGAGAAGAAGATCTGTGAAGGAAAGAAATACGTTAACTTACTGCGATAAACATTCACATATATTTAGAGAAAACAACAGACTTCAAACTTCGTGTTTCACAATAATAAAAGCAAGAGAGCTTTCTACTTCAGTGCACTTGTTCCCAAACGTTTCTTGTCTTCTCTATGGTAACATGGAAGCTTTTAAAGAGATTTGCCATTCTAGAAGCTCCAATTTAGCTTGTTTGCTCTTGCTACACCAACAGTTTCAATTCAGAAGTAGCCATCAGGAAACAGATGCACTAGCTATGCAGGCAGTGTCTGCGAAGTATTTGCATTGGCAATGACAAATTCTGCTCAAGTTGAAATTTTTTTGTGGTTTAAACACAGATGAAAACTGCATAAGGAAAGGAATGGAAAGCCATCGATTACCAAGAAAATTCCTATGCTGATTTGTCCCCTGTAAGGAAGAAGACACACACACATCCTTAACATTTATCAAGACGACAAAACCTAGTGCTCGTGTCAAATGAGCAGAGCACAGAAGAGTGAAGTGTCATTATTCTCAAGATTGGCTTTCTAGCCTCAAGTACATTTTCAGGTTGTTTGTAGTATAAATTTATATTTACAGCTGAAAACTTAGTAAAACCCCATCTTACACGATTAGGTAATAAAGTTTTTTCAAATGCTATTTTTCGGGGGGATTCAGTTGACATCGGTACTTGCCGAAAAAGATTTCTTGTCAGGAAAGACCTTTCTTTTTGGTATGTACAGCGAGTCATTAAACTGCCACATGGGGGCCATATTTGATAACACTTTTTCTTAATTATCCTGAGCAATATGTCCAAAGTCTACTTCTTTATCTAGATGACAAGTCTGGAAATAATCAATTATATCTACTACAAAGTATAATACTATTATAAAGCCACATGAGTTTTCACACAACTTTTTCGACTATTTTTAGGCACCAGTTGCAGTTCTTTATTTCAATTATCCGAGCATTCGAACAAAGATTATTTAGAGATGCAAAACGACTCCCAATAAAAATAATGGAAATAGTTGATGCCTAATTTAAAATATAAGAATGCTGTAGAACCGAATGGGCAGACCATACTTATTCACCATTTTCCCAACTTCCTCTTTCTCTTCACCAAGGAAAACGATATTACAACTGTAACATATCCGCAAATCTAAATACCCTCAGATCTAAATGCCATAAGCAACAAAGATTATAAAACCATTGTTTATTTTCATCTCAAAGAAGTGGACTTTCTAAGCATGCCCAAACACAGGAGCCATACAGAAAAGATGGGTACATTTGAAGACACAGAATTTTTAAAAACTCCACAAAGCGAGAGAAGGGGATGTGAAGACAGAAGCAGAAGTTAGAGAGGAGAGAAGACACCAGACTGCCGGCTTTGAAAATGAAGGAAGAGGGCCAGGAGCCAAGGACCACTAGGGGCCCGTGGAAGCTGCAAAAGCAGCCCTCACAAATGCACTGAGTATTAGTGGAGACCAGTGGGCCCAATCAGGCATGGAAGCAAGAACACAGAAAAAATCTACAGGGGCAGCCCGAGGACATGGACTCTATGCTGCTAGCTCACTCGTGGGGCCACCTCAGCTATGCAGGGAGGATCAACTACTTTTCATTGTCATAAAGCCTTGATATCGACGGGGGCACAGTTCAAGACCGGAGCATGTTGAGGGGATGAGAGGCCATCCCAGAGTAGAAGATAGGGAATCAAAAAACTTAAAGTCCTTTGGCAGAATGAGCCAAAGGCAGACCAGGTTTTCCTTCTCAGAAAACATCAGAGGAAAGGCCCGACAGGAAGATAATGACTACCACCATTGTCTCAGGGTTTCCACATCCTGTCTAGGACCTTCTGCAAGAAAGCGAAGACTACTTTCACACGTGGCTTGTGAGACTCAGTCTCCTCCTTCTGTGGTCTTTGTACTGTTTTCATTTGCCTCACACACCCGTCCTCAAAAAAATTTATTGAATGAACAAAATAAATGAGCAAACGACAAAGTGAATAAATAGACAAGTTAAAAAGAACCAAATGTTGTCATAAATATCAGCATTTTTCTTAGCGTGGAGGTGCAGAGCTGGCAGTGAGATGGAGATTGGAAAGCATCCCTTTTTCTTTTAATCTCCCTAGGAAGGTCCTGAATAAACATATATCCCTCCCTGCAGGCAGACATACTGGCAGGTGTCCTTGGGCCCAGAATAGAAAGGTGGGGCAGAGCTCTGTTGCTGCTGCTGTAATTGGCATGCAGGCAAGTGCTCCCAGCTCCTATCCCAGCACATTAGAGATCTGAGGGGGTGGGTGCTAATAACCGATAATCAGCATTGCGTTTGCCAACAGCCAAAAGAAAAATGAACCTTTAATTGAGCGAGATTTGGCATCAATCAGTGATGTGACTTTAGTCAGGCAAAACCGACAGATTACTGAGTCAGACGTCCAACTGTGAGAATTGTTCTCTACTGGGGTGAAGAATGCAAAAATGTGGATAAATGGCATTTCTTACCAACCCAGGACCATAACTCACTGTGAAAAAAAGTAGTCTGTATTTGCTTTCAAATTTTTTTGGGTTCCTTTTTAAAGTCATGTTTTAGCAGAGTTTAATTTCTTTTGTAATTCCAAGCCTCTACACAGAAGTGTTTTATTATATTCTGATGATAGGATGATGTAGGAGGGGTCTGCAGTCAGCTCTGAACTATGAACCTTCCAAACTGAGTAGCCAGGGCTCGCCTCCGGGACAAGACCCCACATCAAAGGAAACCACTGGGATTAGAATCAAAACTGCACATGACTGGTGCTTTGGACTGACAGCTGGTTCACAAAAACAGGTACTGCAGACAAGTGCCAATGACCCTGCCTCCTACCAGCTTCAGGCAACCAGGCTGGTTCTCTCTTGCTCTGGGATATTACTTTCTTGGCCTATCTGGACACAGTTCTGCAGCTCAACACTTGTCACTTTTTCACAGTTTTGTATTCACCGTCCGGGGTTCATCAAAATTTCAATCAACTAGTCCTAGGTCTGCCCTCTGGAGTTATAAAGAAGTCTCCTCCCTCCTTCATATGATGGGTTTCAAATATTTGGCAACAGCCACCACAGACTATCTAAAAGAATCTCTCAGGCCAAACATCTCTAGTTTCTTCAAAATCTCCTTCTGGAATATGGCTTCCAGAACCCTCAGTCCTGGCCC